CCAGACGTCGCGGATCCGCCTTCAATTTCTCTTCTCCGACCCTCCTCTTCGAGCAAGTTGGTTTTCTTCGTGTGAGCCGCCGCACGTCCGAGCTTCTCCCTTTCAAGTCTGATTTCGCCGATCGCAGGTCGCCACTCGCACAACCAACTTTCTCCCTTATCAATCTGGTGGAATGGATCTGAGCACGAACCATTTTGTCTGTTCAAGTCACGTCGTCTGTCGTTTCGACCTCTCTACATGGTTCACCTTCTTCAGGTAATCAAGACAAAAACCAAATTTATTTTATTTTTTTTCTCACTGACTGATATGTTTTTTCTCTCTAACTCAGCTGAAACTCGAGCTCTGATACCATTTGTTCGGAAATATTAATCCCTAAAGCATGCACAATCACACTAAAGTAAAAATTAAAAAAAAAACATAAATATTTTACGTGCTTCAGCAGTGTGTCTACATTCACGGATAAAACCGACAAGTGAACTAGTAGAGTTCTTCACAAATAAAAACTCTATAAGATGTACATCAAATATTTTTTAAAATAAATACAAAAAAAATCCAAATAAATTATTTTTAAAATATAGATAAATATCGTCAAAATTTAAAATATATCAACATTCTCATTTACCATATAAACCTTTGGACTCCAAGCTCATGGCTCCAATGGAACGGCCGATACAAGAACATCATCATTGTGAACGCATTAACTACTATATATAGAATCCCTATTAGCAACCAACTTCTGTAACTATTTATATCATAATGAAGCACGGACAAAAAGAAGGGTATGGTGTAGTATCTGAACTCAATGAGCGGTGCAGGAACAAGAACAGCAACATTTGCAAGGAAAAAAACCAAGACCCAAACTTTCCTTCGAGTTTTTCCTGGAAATGGAATAAAACAATCATGCCTTATTTTAAATTTGGCAAACCAGACAGGAAGTGATATGATAGCTAAAGAAATATACTAACCTAATAAATTAAGGATTGAAAACCAAGAATAAACATAGAGTGGAACAAAAAGGTACTTCCTTGATTGATCAGCATTGATGACCTTCCTCCAGAGATAAAAAGTATAGTGCCGATTGTCGGCAAGAAGATAGGGATGAGCTATGCTGCGGAAAGATACATGAAATATGTTATGGAACAGTAATATAAGTGCCAAAAACATATTGTAGATTGTTTAAGCATAAAACTTCAACCTGAAAAAATGCACAGCAAGGAAACCAGCAATAAGAGCAATCACGCATAGGAGCAAACTATTAGGCCTGTTTTTCCAGAATGATCGAAACAGATCTCTGGCCTGAATTATATTAAAGTGTAAAGGAGCCACAGCAAGAGCAGAAACCAGACCAAAATACATTATCTGTGCAAAATGTGGAGAAACCACATGAGCTTCTTTTGCACCTGCAATATTAACAAGCTAAATAAAAAAATCGAACTTTTACAAGCTGAATCAGAAAAAAATAAGAGGATTCGTACCAAGAACTATGCCTCCATTCCAAATAACAAAACCAGCAAAGGCCATTAATACAATAAAAAAGGGGCCAAATGTGAGCAAAAGCTCCCACTTCATACGCCATGACGTCAAAATAACAGCCAGAATCTCATCAAACAAACCTGTATTTTCATCAAGAAAGAAACATTAGGTTGCATACAAAGTATGCATTCGATGAACAATCAATTATGGTAACCTAGTCCGCCCAAAGTCCATAAGTACTGAAAGCTAGAATAAAATGAACCGTCTAATTTAGAAATAAAAGCTCAGTTAGCCATGCAAAAGGAAACCTGGTTTTGGTGCCATTGATACAGAAATTGCACGGGGCCTAGCACGTTTATGAATATCTGCATTGCCATTAGACTTTCTTTTTCTCAGATTTGAGCTCATAATAACACTGTTTTTGGGATTTATTTGATTGGTTTTCTCAATTGACTCATCATCCTTCATGCTATCCCTCTGATGGCCCAAAGAAATATTTATGACCTTGGTGCACAAAACAAAAAGCATCCATATAATATTTGTTTGCCTAATGAAAACGGCCAGGGCTCCAAGCTGCACAGGACAGAGGAAAGGAGTCACCAAAGTCGACATCATAATTGGAGTAGAAAAAATATGCACGATTATTCCAATAACTTTCTCCTGAAACTGATGGATGTTGCCACTAAGTAACATGAACTGGAGCACTCCATTGCCCATATAAACCTGAAACTCAATATGTTGATCCTGTCTGCTGCCTGATTCAATTTCTGGCATTGATTTGTAACTCTTCAGTAGAGTTATGAAAATGATAAAGTTACAGATCATAAAAGAAATGAACATTAATGCAGATTACATGAGGAAAGAGACAAAAAGTAAAGAGGTGAAAAACTAATTCTTAAAAAAGGGGAAAAAATGCATTTGGTATATATCATTGTAGAAGTTGACACATCTAACAAAGTTCAGGACCAGTCACCAGTGGGCTTTAGTGATCGAAAATTTGACGACTATTCCACTCAAGGATATAGATCTCCCAATATATTCCTTGCAATTTTTTTTTCTCACACAAAAGGGCCATAAATGCACATTAGACAGAGCAAGAGAAAATCAGTAAAATCAAACGCACCAGATAGCTAATGAGGCAAGAGATATAGGTAACAACAAAATTTTTCGAAGTAACACAGGGAGATTCAAAATTTAAAATCTAGAAGGTAAAATAAGCTGATTTCTTACCAATGCACTGAATTTGTATTTCTTCTTCAAACATGCTAGGTACATAGCAAGAACTGCAGTTAGCGATGCAACATCTGTGTAGTAAAGAAAAGTGAAAAACCAGTGAAGAGGGTACATTGCTGTGATCACTGCAATAAATGTTGCTTTCTTATCACTGAGAACTGGTCTTAAGTGGGTAATGATCTCAAAAACAAGAACACTGCATAACACTACCAAGATACTGTTTGTAAAGCGAAGCATAGCAGGGGAGCATGCTTCTGAAAATGATGATGCTGCTTGTAGAAAAAACATGCCTGGAAACAAAGTAGCAACATAGGCCAGCGAAAGGTAGTACCTGCAAAAGTTTTAATTGCATAGATCAACTTTCCTTTGTTAAACATTAAATAATTGCTCCGATAGGGTTGACTTCGTGCCTAAAGTTAGAAGGATTTCAGCAATCACTATACTAACATGGTCACACCCAAGATTGTCAGTAATATGGATCTCATTAAAAATCAATTAACACACTATACTGCCAGGATAAGAACTCTATCACCCGTTTGAGCTATGTACAGAGGGTTGCAAATATCTCCATAATTCATGAGAGCTGATTCAATTTTTAAGATCTACGATTTGTTTGAAACAAATGAACTTTGACAAAATTTACGGAATCCATTTATGAATCTTAGTTTTTATACTTAAAAAATTGTCCTAAACATTATATTTAATTCCAAATAAATTCGGAATAGCATAGAAATGAGGAATTTTAAAAATAAACTGTGGTCTGAAAGAAAAGTAATTACAAATCATAAGAAAGTACTTTGAAGTACATACAAAACTACCAAAAAGCCAAAAGATAGAATGCATTACCCAAAAATACGATTTGTTGAAACAAATGAACTTTGACAAAATTTACGGAATCCATTTATGAATCTTAGTTTTTATACTTAAAGAATTGTCCTAAACATTATATTTAATTCCAAATAAATTCGGAATAGCATAGAAATGAGGAATTTTAAAAATAAACTGTGGTCTGAAAGAAAAGTAATTACAAATCATAAGAAAGTACTTTGAAGTACATGCAAAACTACCAAAAAGCCAAAAGATAGAATGCATTACCCAAAAATACAATGAATTTCATAAAATATTTTTAAGTCCACATTTTATTCAAAATAGAAGAATTCATATAAACAGGTTCCTTGTGAAAGTCATTAATAAATTGAATAAATACAAATCTCTATTTGTCCCAAATATAGACTTAGTAATACAGTAAATTCATACATCTAAGCTCCATCTTTAACAATAAATCATTTTTGTGAGTTCTTTACCCTCAACAAAAAGAAAAATATTGACATATTTAAGGTAGAATTGAAGGAGAACAACATGAAGATACCTAAGGTAGCAACAAATTCAAGTTTTCATGGTAAATCAACAAATCAATGCACGGGTTCCTATCATGTATCAAGAGAATAGAATACCGAGAAGGAAACCACATTCAAAAGTTTAAGTTTGAGTAAGTAACTATAAGATGAGGAAGCAGAACTGATCCAAAATAGGGAAAAAAAGAGGGAGCAAATTGAAAAGAGGTAAAACAGCATACAGGCCAGGTGGAGTAGTAATCATCGGATTCCAACTACTGAAATTTCCTTGGCAATATTGTTGAGCCTGCGGTACATGGAATATCTCATCCTGCAGTTTTATATGTAAAATTTGTCAGCAATTATGACAAGTAAAGCAAATATTAACAAGAAAAAGAGAACTTGAAGAAAGAAAATAAGTTTTGAAGAATTACCATATAAGGCTCAGGAACAGTGCGGTTGACGAGGATTGATATGGGAACTACCCACAGGATCACAACAGCAGCAACTGCCAGTTTACCCATCACTCTCACAGTACAATAATCAAATAATACAACTATTTCTCGTCCCTATCTCCCTCTGCCCCTCTACAGTTTCTGCTAGAGTAGGAGCACCACTTTGCTACGCTCCACTAAGATGCAGGAGAGGAAACTTACAAGTGATGGCCATGGTATTTGGATTGTTCTTTGCAACAAGGTGCAGCTAATGGAGCAAATTCATGCTTTAAACTCCTGGTTTTCCATTAAAAAGGGAAGAAATAATAAATGGATGTACAGCAAAATGTTGTGTTTAAGCAAGAGGGAGATGATGACTTCTTATTAATTTTTTACAGTTTAAGATATTAAAGAAACTATTTCTTGGATGCTTGTAGATTTAGAAAAAAATAAGGGAAAATACCAAAGAAAGAAAAATAGAGAGAAATTGTTTTTCATTGTTGTATTGGACAGATACAGAATACATTAGAGGCTAGATTCAGGTCCAAAGGGGGATACAGTTAGTTGGTACTTTATTTGAGGACCTATCCTATGGCTAATTAATTCAGACTTCAATTCTTCACTTATATCACCTGATTTTTGATAAAGAAGAAATGAAAACCTGAAGAACTTGTAATAATAACAAAATTGGAGGCCCTTTAGCAGGAAGTAAGCCATGTAAAGAACACAATTCAGTAACATGACATTACTGATAAAACACTGAAGTTTTGAGAATGGAAAATTTCTCTTCTACTTATCTTATTTCCTTCACCATAAGGTGCTTATTTATAGGAAAGGAATACAACCAATTCCTAACAGCTTTATGGGGGGAAAAGAATAACAATATACGGGTATCGGGCACACCTTAACCATTTGATGATTCCTTCCACTAGGCAAACAGAAATTAAACAAAATTCTCTTCTATGATTTTCTACACTCCCTTTCAATCTAGTTTACATATATGTTAAGTAAACCTAAATTGGATACAATATCATCAAAGTTCCCTTTTGGTATAGCTTTTGTTAGGATGTCTGCAATTTGTTGACTGGTTGGAATGTGCATAAGATTTATAGTTTCATCTTCTATTTTTTCCTTGATGAAGTGTCGATCAATTTCTACATGTTTGGTTCGGTCATGATGTACTAGATTCTTAACCATGCTAATGGTTGATCGGTTGTCATACCATACTTTCATAGGAGTGTTAACAGAAGCTTTCAGTTCTAATAATATTCTCCTCAACCACATTTCTTCACATATTCCATAAGTGAGTGCCCAAAATTTAGAATCTGCGCTGCTACAAGATACCACTGACTGTTTCTTGCTGCGCCAAGTGACCAAGCTTCCCCAGACATAGGTACAGTATCCTGTCTGTTATTGACCCTGCTCAATCGGCATCAATGAAGATTTCAACATCCCTATTCATTGCCTTTTTTAAGACCAATCATTGACCCGGAGTCATCTTTAAGTATCTCATAATTTCATATACAACCTTCCTGTGTTTCTCAGTTGGTTGATTCATGAATTGACTTAGTATACTAATTACAAAATTGATGTCGGGTCTTGTATGTGCCAAATAAATGAGTTTGCTTACAAGGCTTTGATACCTCTCTTTATCAATTGTCTTATCACTGACCTTGGACCCTACTTTTACGGTTGGATCCATAGGTGTGTCTGCAGGTTTACTTCCGAGCATCCTTGTCTCCTTCAGGAGTTCTAAAACATATTTCCGTTGTGATACTGAAATTCCCTTTTTAGATCAAGCTACCTCCATACTAAAGAAGTACTTGAGCATTCTAAGATCTTTAATTTCAAATTCTTTAGTCAAAAACTCTTTAAGCTTCTGAATTTTCTCAATATGGTCCCCTGCCAGAATGATGTCATCCACATAAACAATCAAAATAGCTTTTTTACTTGAGATACAGTACTTGACAAACAGTGTGTAATCTGATTAACATTGTTCATACCCTACTCGTTTCATTGCCTTTGTGAATCTGTCAAACCATGCCCTTGGGGATTGTTTAAGACCATAAAGTGACTTTTTTGAGTTTGTACATTTTATCAGAATTGTTTGTTAGTTCAAATCCTAATGGGACGTTCATGTATATTTCTTCTTCTAGATCACCATTAAGAAAAGCATTCTTCACATCTAGCTGACAAAGTGGTCAATCAAGATTTGAAGCAAGTGAAAGTAATATCCGAATTGTATTGTGTTTGGTTACTGGAGGAAATATCTCTTGATAGCCTATCCCATAGAACTTAGTAAAGCCTTTGGCTACCAGGCGAGTTTTATACCAATTCACACTTCCATCCAAATTGTATTTAATTGTAAAGACCCACTTGCATCCCACCTGATGCTTTTCTAGAGGCAAATTTATTAACTACCATGTTCCATTCTTCTCAAGTGGTCTAATTTTATCATGGATGGCTGTTCTCCATTCTGGTTCTTGGAAGGCTTCATGGATCGTTTTTAACTCTGGGGAACTACTATCTAACTTGCTCACAAATGCATGATGTTTCGAAAACTTGTCAAATGAGATATAGTCCTGTATAGGATGTTTGGTGCATGTTCGAGTTCCTTTTCTTAAAATAATAAGCAGTTCAGTGTCAGTATTAGTAGCAAGGACAGAGATCTCATTATCTGTTGATTTCTGGACATCTGGAGTAGGAATTGATTCATGTCAAGACTTGGTCGATTCAGGCACTTTCCCTTCTTAAACCTTATTCCTTCTAATGTAGACATGTAACTCATTAATTGCAGGTAACGTGTTTTCAGTTACTGCCACTGGCTCAGGCTCTTTGTGTGTGCTTCAGGTAAAGTATTAGGTTCAAACTCTAGAGAATGTGCATTTGGTGAACTCTGTGGATAAAGAGAGGGTATACTCACATCCCACAATTGATATTCTTGAGTAAAGTCCTCCCCCTGAATATCAGATGTGGGGTAAAAAGATTAGTTTTCAAACAATGTGACATCCATTATGTTATAGAATCGACGGGTATCCGGAAAAAGGCATTTGTATCTTTTTTTATTAGAAGAGTACCCAACAAAGCTACATTTGAGAGTTTTTAGGTCAAGCTTCCCCCTGATGTGTGCATGAATATGAACATATGCTGAGCAACCAAAAACTTTAAGTGAGAGAGTGTTTAAGATATGAGATTCAGGAAAATTTTGTAGGAGGAAGTTATAGGGTGACTGAAAATGAAGATACGGGAGGGTATTTGGTTTATTAAGTATGTAGTACTGAGTATTGTCTCTCCCCAAAAGTATTTAGGACATGAGTAGTAAATATGATTGATCAAGTAACCTCAAGAACATGTTTGTTTTTTCTTTCAACTATGTCATTTTGCTGTGGAGTATATACACAAAAGCTTTAATGGATAATACCATATTCAGTAAAGTATTTTCTGAGAGTGGTTTCGAAGTACTCACATGCTTTATCAGACTTCAACACTTGTATGTTGGTATGAAACTGAGTTTGAAGCATAGTGTTGAATTTCTGAAATATGGGTCCAACTTCAGATTTTTCTCTCATGAGAAATACCCAGGTAATTCTCGTATGATCATCAATAAAGGATACAAATCACCTAGTTCCGGTAATGTTTGTGACCCTGAAAAATCCTCATACATCGCTATGAATTAATGCAAATGGTTTTGAAAGTTTGTATGATAGACTAAGAAACGAGCTTCGAATATGTTTAGAGAATTGACATACTTTACGCTGAAATAAAAAAGAATTCTTATTCTTGAACAACAAAGGGAACAATTTTTTTAAGTATAAGAAATTTGGGTGTCCTAGTCGATAATGTCACAACATGATATCATGGTCATTATTTGAATGACTTACAGAAACAGAGTTTGCACATTCTGCATTGTGAGTTTGTCTTCTAGAGGTGTCGGCTTGAAGAAGGTACAGCCCTGAATTCATCCTAGCATTGCTAATTGTCCTCCCTGAATCCAAATTCTAAAATTCACATACATTAGAGACAAATTTAGCAGCACAATTTAGATCTCCAGAAAAATTACAATCCAAATTTGAGATATATAAAACAAAATAAAGAGTCAAATATGGTGACAAAACAACAAAACCCATTCATGCCACTTTAGAGATGGACCCGTCAGCAATTCTAATCGTGAACCCTTCCTTACACGAGTTGTACTGCTGGAGCAGTGAAGCACCACCCGTCATGTGATCGGATGCCCCGAAGTCCACAATCTAAACTTGCCTTTTTGCAGAGCAAGCTGATAGACCAAGGGGAATTTTACCTTTATGTGCTACTGAAGCACTGATGAGATGATTCTTCTGAGAAAGCATTCTTTGGAGAGCGTCCATCTGTTCTGGATTAAATGGCAACTTTCTGCAGTTGTCAATAGAGTATCTTCAGAGGTTGCATGATTCCCTAGGTGGTCGTTGGGGTTTTTAGACTTGAAGGGTTTTCTGTCACTAGGTCTTCCATGAAGTTTCCAGCATTTTTCGTGTATGTGACCGAGTTTCCCGCAGTGGTCATACCACGGTCATCCCCTCTTCCCACGAGAATCCAGTGTTCTGTTTGTAAGCGCATAAGCGTTTTTTATTAGGTAAGTGGATTGCGTGTCTCCCATCATCACTTTCTTTCGGCTTTCTTCCCGCCGAATCTCGAAAAACACTTCGCGGATGCTTGGTAGCGATTTGATTCCCAATACCCGTCCTCGCACTTCATCCAGGTTTTTGTTTAATCCCATTAGAAACTTGAAAATTCGCTTCTGCTCAATAATCGATTTGAAGAGTTTGGCATCTTCGGGACAGCTCCAACGATGTTCTTCAAACACGTCAAGTTGCTGTCAGCTGCGAGTTAGAGTATTGTAATACTGAGTTATGTTTAACTCATTTTGTTGCAGGTCGTGAAGGCTGGATTCAATTTCGAAGATAGCAGAGGTATTCTCCTTAGTATAGTAGAATTCCTGATACGCTTCCCAAATTTCATGCGCGGTCTCATAGAGGAGAAAATTCTCTCCAATTTCGGGCGTCATCGAGTTTACTAACCATGACATAACCATGCTGTTTTCGTTTTTCCATGTTCGGGCATTCGGATCATTAGTAGGTGGAGGTACGATTTCACCAGTGAGGTATTTATCTCGGCCCTTGCCCCGGATGAACAGCAGTACTGATGATGACCACTAGAGATAGTCGTTGTCGTTTAGTTTGTGTCCGGTAATGAATGACGAAAACTGTTCAACCAAACCATGGTTGATGGGTGCGAGAAGATAGGAACCCAAGGAAACTTCGGATGAAGAAGACGATAGCTCACCCGTGGATCTGTGACTTCGGCTTAGTAGGGGTGAAACTCCTGAATCATAATTGATCTGATACCATGAAGTTTTGATAATGGAAAAATTCTCTTCTACTTATCTTATTTCCTTCACCATGAAGTACTTATTTATAAGAAATGAATACAACCAATTCCTAACAGCTTTATGGGGGAAAGGAATAACAATATATGGTTACCGGACACACCTTAACCATTTGATGATTCCTCCCACTAGGCAAACAGAAATTAAACCAAATTCTTTTTTATGATTTTCTACAAAAACTCATACAAATAGAAAGACAGAGAACATCGAGAGTCCAACATAAAAGCATTGGATACTCATATTAGATTGAATTCCAAGGGAAAATTCTGCATTATAAAATAGTTGTAAAGGTGGCTTTTCTATTTTTTTCTTGATCCAAATTGATGGTGCATAAGCATAGTACCAGTTTACTATTTAAGAATCATATCATTTAGATTATTTTTATGTTTCCTAAATTACTTATATTTTGCTTCCCTATCTTTATTATGAGCTATATTTCTAACCTTATTAGTATTAGAATTTCTTACTTCGACCTTACTTGGGAAAAGATTACTTAGCATTCTTTAAATACCTTTATAATTTCCTTTAAGATCATTATATAGTTATCAATGATTTTTTTAAAAAAAAGTTGATATATTATACATAGGCAAAGAGTTTAGAATCAATTATTCTTGATTGTATCAAAAGGAAATTCAATGCCCTCAAAATAACTTTTTGTTTCTTTTCTTCTCAATAACCCATAAAGTAATCGGAAATATAAGGCCTAAATTCTTATTGCAATGCTTATTCTCATGTCTCTCCGTGCACAAATCTTCCCGCTTATCGAACTAGCCATTATTGAATTAATCCTCATAGACTATATATCATAAACCAAACTCGATAAAAAAAACATATAAAAGAGGAAACTCCAAGACACATGATTATATGCCTTCTCCATGTCAAACTTGCAAATGACCCCTTCAGCATTTCTTAGTAAACTACCTACCATTTTATTCATGACCAGTAGTGCTACATGTGAAATTTGTTTGTCTCGACAAATGCATGTTAACACTATGCTACTACCCTTCCTAGGACCTTGCAGAATCTCCTCGCCATAACCTTTGCTATGAGCTTACATACACAGCCCACAAGACCAATAGGTTAGAAGTCCCTTATCTTTGGACCCCTTGCAGACTTTGGACTGAATAATAGGAAAGCAAAGGTAAGATGGGAAACAAAGGATCCATTTTCATAAAATTCTTTAAAAAGCATAGCGACATCATCCTTCATTACTGTCCACTTGTACTGGATAAAACACATCTTGAAACCATCCAAAATAGGGGCTTTATTGCTTTTGCATGACAAGAGGGCATTAAAAATCTCCATCCCTGTGAAAGAAGATTCCAGCCAAACCTCTCCTACTCCTCCAATGTATTAAAGTCTAAGTCATCTAATGTAGGTCTCCATGGTACATTATCCGAGAACGAGTCCTCAAAAGCTCTTTCACTTCTCCCTCAACTCCTCATTCCCTCTAATAATTTGGCCATTAATCTACATCTCCTCCACGTGATTACATCTTTATGGGGACTAGCTATGCTGTGGAAAATGTTGGTATTCCTACCCCCTTCTTTAATCATGGCTCTTACTTTGTGTCTCCATGCAATCTCTTCCATTGTAAACAAATTTGCCACTTTGAGACAAATGTTGGCTCTCCTTTCATCTTATATTGATATTCTACCTTCCCCTCCCAGTCTATCAGTTTCTCTTAGAAGACATCTCCTCCTCAATGTCTCTACCCCAAATTTGACTTTGTTCCACTATTTGATCATTGTTTTAATATGCACTGATCTTTTTCAACCATGTAACTAGTATGGCCTTCCACCCTAGTCTCATCCCACCATTTCCTTAATTTTATCTTGGAGCCCAGAGCTTTGAACCATTTACTTCCAAAACTGAGGGGAGACAATCCCCATTTAATACTACTTAATTCTAAGCATATGGGGAAGTGATCCAAAATGCTGGTGGTAGCAATTTTTTATCATTCTCTTGCAATTGAGATTGGAAAAAGGTTGAAAAAACGAATCAGTCAATTATGGTGAAACACAAGTTATTCCTAGAGCTTGGCCAAGTCCATCTACCTCTAGATAATGTTTAGATCCATTAATGGTAGTCTTTGTATATGCATGATGACAAAATGGATGAACAAAGAAAAGTAAGATAGATGCTCATGCCATTATCTTTGTAACCTAGGACATACAAACATAGCCACGAAAAAGAGGCTACATGAGCCCAAACTCTATACTCAATTGGTTGAGAACTTCAGTTAAGAAGCTTAAAATGCACAAGCTTCAAATCAAGTACCATTAAAATGGAGCAAAGAAGAAGACCTGGTTATGCAGAACGTTAAGGTCTGTTCATTCAACACTCAAACCAAGGTACGAATCATGTTTAACTCTCTAATAAAAACATTTGCAAACAAGCTTTGAAGAAACTGTTTTCACTGAAAATAGTGGGAACCTATTGAATGTCGATGAGGGAAAATTAGCATTCAGAAGCAGCAATCCTGGTATAAACCCCTAAAATGGATTTCGAACCTCAGCTAGGCCTTAGTATGGAGATCAATCTCATTTTCTACCTTGAAACATATTTCAGACATGGAATGATTTTTTTATTGAACATGAAAGAGCTGAGAACTAGACTAGTCAGTAGGAGACAGACAAGAAAGCTCATTCATGTGAGCTTTATAATAGAGATTCATACATCTATATTTCCCAACAATCTACTTCGGGACAATCAACTAATAGAGAAGGTAAAGATTACCAATGAACATGAGCAGACAATATTATGACAGAGCTTAGACTCTTACCCAACAGGAAGATTCCAAAATCACATTTCTTGTGGATTTCACAACTAGGAAACACGCAAAACTTCCTCCTCTCACATCTTGTGGATTTCACAGACTCAAGCCATATAACAATTATATCCTTTTTAATAGTTAAAACTTTAAATTAAACATATGATTACGTTGGTAGAATTTTAGGTTTTGTAATCGTTACCAAACGAAGAGAGATCTGGGATCTGTTAATGACAGTGAAAACGTCTTCAATGAAAACCCTCTAGTCCGAAGCCTCTAATATTTCTGCTCTGGATTTTCACGCTCAGAAAAATCTTCTACGTCAGAGCTCTCTCCTTCCAATTTGCCGCTTCTTCTTTCCTTTGTTTTCTCTCTTCCTGATAAAACGCAGCCGCCAGACCCAATACCAAAATTGCCCGACGGTGCTGAAGAGGATCCGTTTTATAGAAGGTTTCGTTCCTCTCTCGTGCTTATTCTCTCTTCAATTCACGTTTGAGACTTGTCCAATGGATCCATGCCATGGAAGCGTCCTTGCTTCGGTGTAAAACGCAAGCTATTCCCCCTCGTGTTTCCCTTCAAAT